TACAAAACTGGTCAGCAAGCGGATTGTATTTAATTCTACATAGATATGTATGCAATAACCCAGGTGGAGATAATTTCTGAAATGTGTGTTGGCAGTGAGTTGCTCTCTTTAAACAGTTGTTTATTACAAAAATTATATTTCATCCATGTACGCTCATAAATAGACCAAAATGATCACTAGTTCAACCTCATGTTATGAAGCACATACACTCCATTTTAGTCATAGTACCTGTGTTCATCACATGTCCAACATAGACAAGACTTGGACACAATGAAACACAAGTTAGACACGCCTCCCAGTGGTGTGTCAAATTATTTATTTATTTATTGTTGGATATGTTCGGGGGCACGTCAAGGACACACGTTCTGTTTTGAACGCCCTACATGACAAGTTTGGGGTTTTATTATAATTATAGGAAGGTGGTTTGGTAGTCAAAGTATGGTATTTGGAAACAAGGGCTTTGAAATTGAATAAACAAACAAAAAGTTCTCCTTAAATGTTTGATCTTTGACGCCTTTCAGTGCCCTAAAAGGCAGAAAACATCTCTTTGAAAAAATCAGTTGGCCCCCTCATATTTCGAGTGTTCCTATTGTCTGCTTCCATTTGCATTGGCTTTGTGAATTTTTGGTGCAAACTTTTGATAAATGTTAACACCATACTATTAATTCTTAAATAAAATAGTTGGAATTTATGAATTTTATATGAATGATCTATTAATTATTGAACTTAAATGCTTTTGACATTTGTGATGTAATGGTTTATGATCGATGAAATAGTATTGTGTATTATTAATGATGTTTAAATTATAATTGAGTTATTTTTTCATAATGAATTAGTGTTATTTTTTCATTATTTTTTTTTTGTTTGTAGATAAAAATTAACAAATAAAAAATATGTATGATGTATATTTGCTATATCCAGTCTTGTCCTTATCCTAATTTTTTGAAAATATCTGTCTTGTGTTTGTATCCGTGCTTCTTAGGTTCATGTTTTTCTTGTATTGTTTGTGCCATATTCCATGATTTGTATATTATCCTAATATTTGGTTAATCTAGTTCAGACTTCAAAGCTAATTGTTTGCGAGGGGTGGTAGGCTGTGGGGCTATGAAGCACCAACACTTCAAAATAGATGCCGTGGCTGTGTGGGATACGTATGGGACACAAAAAGGGTGGGAACATGTGTCCAACACGGCCATGTGGAGTGTCCATTTAATTTTTTTTTATTTTTTTTCACTAGACACGAAGGAACACACTTTGGGACATGAAGGGTTCTTATTTTAATTTTTCAAAACTAATTTCAAGAATCATATATATATATATGGAAATATGAGCGTTGAATTTAAAAAAAGGATTTTCTTAACGTCTTCCCTTGGGGCTTGTACATTTGCGTGTAATAAAAATTGTACAAACATTTTAAACCTTTTAACATGTCCTCAAGGCACACATTAACAAGACCCTTAAAAAAAATGTAGAAATCATATCAAACCATTGACAGCTCAACCCAAATCTAATTACAGTTGTAAAGTTTTGAGACTGTCTTCTAGCGATCCCCAAAGCCCTATCACAACATTGATATAGTCTTTGGATGATGCACAAATCTAATTACAGTTGTGAAGTTTTGAGACTGGTTTCTAATGAGTGTGTTCGTTATGTTAAACTAATGTTAGTTTTCATTAATTTTGGTTGTTTATAAATGTAATATATATATGTAACCTATGAAGCATAGACACTTTAAAATAGGTAGCGTAGCGGTGTTGGACATGGGGACACGTACTTGACATGCCATTTGGCATGTCTCTTTAATTTATTTGTTTTTGTGGTATGGGACACGTTGGGGACATAGCAGGACACGTCAGGGGCACAACAAAGGGGACATGGTAGGGCCAATTTTTAAAATTTTTGTATATCTTTCGGGTCAAAGTGTAAATTTAATAAAGTTAAAAAAAAATAAAAAATAAAAAATCCCTAACTCAAATAAATCCTAAATCAGAAGAGACCTAAATCCTAAATCAGAACAAAAAAAAAGAGAGGAGAAACGAAGAACCTATTCAAGGAAGGCATCCGATCGATCTCTCCATCAAGCTCCATCTCCATTGAGCTTCATATCCAGTCTGGTAAGTCTCTCCTCTCTCGTCCTGTCTTGCCTTTTGTCTCTCTCTCTTCTCTCTCGTCCTATCTTGTTGATCGTCTCTCTCTCATCTTTTGTCGTCGTTGTCGTCGTCTCTCTATCTCGTTTCACTATCATCTGTCTATCTATAATAAATATATGATAAATATGGGAAATACTATTATATACTATTTATAATAAATTTATTATATATATATATATATTATATTTCTCTTTAAACTAGTTTCTTTTTTCTTTTTCTATTTATTTATTTAAATGTAGTGACTTTTCTATATACATTGAATTAATGTTAGTTTTATTAATTTTGATTGTTTGGTAACATAATATTAATTTACATCGCAAATACATATATATTTTTTAAAAAAATTGCCATGTCCCCCCTGTCTATGTCCCCATTTTTTTGAAATCGTTGTGTCCCGTGTCTATGTTTGTGTTCATGTTTTTGCTTCATAGTACGTAACACATAAAAATTTATAAAATTATATTTTTTTGCCATATCCTTGTTGTGTTTGTGTCTTGATATTTTTGAGATTGCATGTCTCATGTCTTTGTCTGTGCTTCATATCTGTGTGGTGTTTTGTGATAATTTTCAAGTTAGTAGTTTTCTTTCTCATAAGTTCCAACTTGACAACCATTTGGGATGGCTACCTTTGCTTGTAGAGAACTAGAGAAGGATACAAAACTGTCCGGATTTTTGAGGGGACGATTCGGCTTCACTTCTAATAAATTAAGAACAGTTGATTATGATTTGGTTCACAGATTAAGACCCAACAGAATTAGTTTAAACCAAACCGAATCGCTCTTGATTCTTTATTAATGTATAGGAGTGTTTCACCATGTATTTACTGTCACTCTTACTCATTCTTTTCCTAAAACCTCAAATCTCATTCTAAGGTTGATGAAGCCTTCATTCATGCTATTCACAAGATACTTTCCCTATATGTAAAGATATACGTGTTGAAGTGTTATTTTTTCACTATTTATATCCATGGCATTGTGCCATAGTGGTATGCTCTTCAACCCCTATAGCGGAAGCTGCGTTTGAGCCCCATGTGGGGCGTTGGAGGTGATCCCTTTTCCCTTTCTCCTTAGATTGGGATAGTGTAGGTTCTAATGAGTAGTGACCACAAAAAAAAAGGAAAAAAAAAAAAAAGAAGAGAAACTAAATATGACCTGTGTTGAATATAAAGTATGTAGTGTAGGTTCTAAGTATTTTGAAAAAACTAGTTTACTAAATATTTAAAAAATTTGAAGTATGCTTGTTGAATTTTTGGAATGCTTCTACAAATGGAATGAATTTTTATTGAAGAGGATAGTCTAGATATAGTGATGAATTTTTGTCCCCTAGAATCGTGAAACCAAATCGGAACCGAACCGTTTTTAGCAGTTTGGTTCCAAAGGTTTCACGTTTGATTTGGTTATACCATGACTCAGTCCACTCTCCTCCTTGCCCTTAGAGTACTGACCCTAGCTTTCAGCCATGAGATAAGAGAGAGATGGTGTAGAAACACAAGCAAGATATCAAACAAGTCCTGAAAACACCTAACCAGCAAAACAAGGCTGAAACAGTGCAAAATAACCCCATAATAAAGCAACCAGATCAACTAGGAACCCAAACACTGAAGCAGATCATCCAAAACTCAGGAAAAAGCAAAGGTAGGGCCAAAATACATCAAAACAGGGACAACAAACCCCTCTAGAGGATCAGTTGGCTCCCCAAGATGTGAGGGGAAGGGAAAAAATAATCAAAAAGGGTTCAAACAGTGACTTTAAAAAAATCACCCAGTTTTGACGAAAAATAAAAAAAAAATGGAAAACACAATCAATAATAACCAAAAAATCAAAAGGAGATTATAGGATGTATACCTATTAATTTTCGAGCATACTGCAATTTTTTTTTTTTTGAGAACGTACTAGGATACAAGAACGAGGGAAGAAGGAGAGGACAGTTAGGTTTTGGAGGTTTTGGTTGCAAGTAATTAACAACCATTGATTATGGTTCAGTTTTAGGATTAAGGCTCAAAAGAACTTAACCGAACTGTTCTATTTATAAGATTTGACACTTCTTATATTATTTAAAATTGCATTTATGTTGTATTCAATGTATAACAGGAAGAATTTGATGCGTCTTTTACACATTTTATAAAAGTTGGTTTGGAGAAATATTGCTAAGTTCTTAAGTATGCTTCTCAATTTTTTGGAATACTTTTATAGGTATAAACAAATTTTTTATTGAATTGAATTTTCTTAGAACCATAGAATTGAACTGAAATTGAACTATTTTTTTGTAGTTTGGTTTTGGTTCGGTTAGAAAGGTTATACAGTACGGTTTGGTTCCTAAATTCTTAGTTCTCTTTAAAATTGAAACAAAAATCGTCCGTGAACACCACTACTTGCTATCTTGGTTGATGCTGTGGGTGTGTTTAATATATAAATGGTTTGGAGGCAACTGAGGGGACATGTTGGCATTTGAAAATAATCATAGTTGACATCATCAACTTTTGTTATGTATAGTTACGGATGACTCACAATGGGGAAATCTTTGTTGATGCTAAAAAATAAGAAAAAAAAACAATGGGGAAATCTTGATAATAGTTTCACATGCAAGAGAGTTTAGTGTAATTATTAAAACTACACGGAGGTCCTTGCAATTATGCAAAAATTCGGGGGAGGTCAGTGTTATTTACTGTGTGTGTGTGTGTGTGTGTGTGTGTGTGTTTTAAGTAATTCGTGAACCACCAGCTTTTGGCTTGATCAGTACCTCTTGTCATTCCAAAGATGAGGTTCAAATCTTGGTTGAATTACATGTATGCCGTATGTCTTTCTTTAATAGAAATAAACATAAATAATTAGTGAGGCTGTTTTCCTGTAGGTGGAGCAAAGGAGAGCAATCAACTGCTTTGGCTACTGCTACTGATTCTACCTTGCAGGTAGCTGAAACTTAATGAAACAATTCTGAAATCTATTTTGTTTAGTTTAAGATATCAGCAACACACCTGCTGCAACATGTGGTGGGTGAAGGGAAACTACATGAAGAACAGAAAACGGCTGAGTTGTGACTAGTTGAAATGAAATAACTATATTTTGCTTCCTATCCTATCCTACTTTGGGGTTGGCATTTCTAGTGGCTTTTTGACTTATTGGCTTTTGTAATGTGTTTGGGAAATTTCTAAAGTCTCTTTTTTGTGAGTGACAAAGTTGATGTGACATTTAACTTTTTAGCTGATGATGACATATTTGGCTTTTTGTTTTTTTGGCTTGTGTTTTTGAGACGGTTTTTTATGTTTTTGGTGGACATGTAATTTGGAATATTTGGATTTGATAGAAGTTTGAAACTGTTATCTATTTCTGAATCTGAAACCATCATTCACTGCGTTCGATGAAACATAGTCCTTTGTCTATGCAGGAACTATCTGATTGGAATAGTCAATATCACGAGAAGTTTGGATTTGTTTTTCTTATATGTGCCTCTGGGAGGAGTACCCCTGAAATACTTGCTGAGCTGAAGGTAAAGTCTTTGTTGGTGAAATTCTTCTCCAAGCACCTCACCTGATTTAAAATGTATAGATTTCTTTTCTGACTGGCATGAGCACTACCTGAGTATGTTTATGGAGAACAAAGTAGCTTATTGGGGGGAAAACACTATGGCTGTGTTTAGACCTTGGATTTATGGACGGAAAAGAAAGGAACGGGAAAAGTTAGGAAAAGAAAATGAAGTAGAAGTAAATTTAATTTAATTTAATTTAATTTAATTAATTAATTTATTTTTTGGGTTAGATTAGGAAAAGCAGAAGAAAATGAATGTATGTTTGTCAAAAAATCTATTTTTTATTTAGTTACATGTATAAAATGAGCATGTCTAAGTAATTCTATTTTCTTTACTGTTTCCTTTTTCCTGAATGAATCCATGATCCTGCAGCCTAAACAATTCTTTCTTTCCTGGAAAAGAGAGCCGCATATTGAGGAGATAATATTTGGTCAAAAGTGCAGCAGAGAATGTTTATGTCATGAATTTTTCCAATTTGCTCCCATGTTTCAATGTATTTCTAGAGAATTTAATAAGAACAGCTCCTTGGTTAAAAAGAAAGTTTAAAAATGACCCAGCAGGAAAAAGTAGCAATGTATAAAAAACTCTTTCTTAATCCATTGGTCTTAACCTATTTGATTGGCAACAATAACCTCTGACAAATATTTAATTACTCCAGGATGTTCTAGCTGTGTACTAATACATAGAGACAGTTACAAATAAGAAAAGAATTTACTCCATTGTGATACACATGAAAACAAATCCTTGGAACTCTGCATTTCTTTCGTAAATTGAATGCATCTGATGTTTATTTTTCTTTCACTCTCTATTTTACTAGTTCTCTTGAAATAATAATATTCAAATGGCCGGCTTAAGCTGATGGATGTTTTATTTTTCCCTTGCCTGTAGCGACGTTACCAAAACAGGCCTCTAGCTGAGTTTGAGATTGCAGCCGGGGAGCAAATGAAAATAATTGAACTACGTCTTGCCAAGCTTTTTTCGACTAAAGCAGAGGGTGCTTCAACAACTAATGCTCAAGATATTGCAACAAAAGCTGGAGGTAGTGTTGCACACTATTTTATATGGACTCTTCAAAATAAATTAAATACTTATGTCGGATACCTGACAGACACTTGGACAAGGGTGTGGGATATGTGGCCAATACTTTCCATCGGACACCTGTTATACCGTTTAACTGTTTTAAAATGATTAAAATGTGACACTATTTTATCTCACGTAATAGATTAAAAATATAAAAATATGACTTTTTTTAACAGAGTCTGTGTACTCATAAATTTGAGGTTTGATCGGTCCAACTTCTAGATATGCTCCTGCACTTGACATTCGTATCCGAGTTCATGTAACATATTGTAATGGGTTATATGAGTTACATATGTATATACAAAATGTGACGTTCAATATTAACTTGTAGAAGATCGTGTGAGCATCATTGGAGCACATCTGACCACTTCATCTGAGGCTCCTGTGGCAAAACCAGCGGGAATTCCAGTTAGGACTCGCCCGCCTATCACAACTCATGTCTTGGATGTTGCTCGTGGATCTCCTGCGTCTGGTATTGATGTACGATTAGAGATGTGGAGAGGCAATCAAGCCTGCCCAACATTTGGTGAGAATGAAACAGGCAATTGGGTGTTTCAAGGGTCTTCAACCACCGACAAAGACGGACGAAGCGGTCAGCTGATGAGTATAGTTGATGCTTTGAATCCAGGGACATACCGGATAAGTTTCAATACGGGAAAATATTCACCAGGTGGTTTCTTTCCTTTTGTCTCTATTGTGTTTGAAGTTAGGGAGTCGCAAAAGTGGGAACATTTTCATGTTCCTTTGTTGTTTTCACCGTTCTCTTTCACCACTTACCGTGGAAGCTAGAATTTGTGTCTAGAATTTCATGCTCTAATCCTCTGTCCTCTGGTGTGGAGAGTTTGGCTACTGCAGTGGCAGGGGGTTACTTGGGTAGTTCCTGGCTCTGTTCTTGGTCTGCTACAATGGTGGTCAAGGTACCACTGTAGGAAATCTGAATAACGAATTTGGTGTGCCATACCTCTGGTGACTCTCTGGTTGATCTAGAAACACATGAATGATTGATTCTTTCAAGCTTCCCAACCAAAACTGCAGGAGCTGCAAGAGCTTATCATCATTAGACTTGCTATCTGGCTTAAGGTAGTTTCCAGGGAGTTTCATTTTTTGATTATTGACTTCCTTTATAACATCTCAGATGTGAGGAATTGTATTCAAGGTTAGTGGGGTTGATCGCTGCTCCTGACCTATTTGTTTGTTTTGTGATGCGCTACTATTGATGGGCTGATCTTGTGCATTGTGTAAGGGTTGGCTTTGTTGGCCTGGCCTTGAGGTTGTTTTCTCATCAACTTTGAGGTGTGCTAGCATTGTTTCCGTCCCTCTCTTTGTAATTTCTATTGTATGTTGAGGATACTAACTCTACAGATACTAACTCTGCAGTATTATCTACTCAGCTCAGCTCAGCTCAGAACCTGCACCTACTCAGTTCAGTCGTCTATCTCTTTCTCAACTCAATCAGTTCAAGAAGAGTTCTATCAGTTCAAGATGCAGCTCAACTGCTTTACTAACTACACCAATGGTGGTTAGAGAATCTATTAGAAGATCTGTTAGTAGTTGTTAAGTTGTTAACACACATGTAAATCAGTTAGATTAGTTAGTTAGGTTATTAGATACATATCTGTTGTATATGATAGGTTGTATAAATAAGTGATCTTACATCACTGATCTTTTCAAGAAATAAGAAAATGATATTTTCTACATGGTATCAGAGCTAGCTAAGCTCTAACGAGCAAGATAACAATGGCTACTTCTTCATCTCTTTCATCTTCCATTCCATCAAATTTAACTCTTCTCATTTCGAATCTTTCTTCTTTTGTTACTGTAAAGTTAGATTCAACAAACTTCATCATTTGGAAGAGTCAGATCTCCAACATGCTTCGTGCTACCAATCTTTTAGGATATGTTGATGGTACAATCCCTTGTCCTTCATCTAAAGTTGTTAATAACTTTGCTGTTGAATCTGCAAATCCAGAGTTTCTTCAATAGAGTTTAATTGATGCACACCTCTTAAGTTGTCTTACTGCAACGTTATCTCCTTTCATTTATTCCACTGTTCTTCAGTTCCATCACTGTGCTGAGGTATGGTCTGCCCTCAATAAGAAGTTCACTTCACTTTCCCGATCTTATGTTCATTAACTCAAGAATAAATTGAACTCTATTGTTATGAAATCTGACTCCATGGAGGCTTATCCCTCAAAGATTCAAGATATTGTCAATCAATTGGCTCTTGCATTAGTAGTTATTGATTATGAGGATCTTGTTTTGCCAACTCTGAATGGTCTGCCAAATGAGTTTGATGCATTTAAAACTACAATTAGAGCTAGATCTGGTACTATTTCTATGGAAGAATTGTCTTCTCTCCTGTGTTCTGAAGCGATTCATATGGATGCAAAGACTAGAAAGTTGTCAGAGCCAACAGTTGCTTTTTCCTCAGTCAAGAAAAATTTTTCACCACAATCTTCTACTCCATTTCAAACCAAAGGCCATAATTTTTGCTATTCTAGAGGTCGCAATTCTTTTCAGAATAACAAAGAAAACAGATTTTATAAAGGCAATGGCAAATCTAGCAGTAGTATTGGTACTGGCAAATTCATCACTTCTCCTAGAGGCAGAGGAAGATTTTCTTCTCATTCTCAGTCTAATCAGATTTGTGGATGTGTTGGTCACTTGGCTCTTGATTGTTGGCATAGAATGGATTCTTACTATCAGTCCCAGTCTTCTCCTCAGAATCAAGATTCACATCCTATGCCTAATTCCACATCTAGAGCTTTTGTTGCCTCATCTAATGATACATCTTCATCTGCTTTTCCAGGTCCATGGTATTTGGACTTTGCTGCCACTGACCATATCACTAATGACTTGTCTAATCTCACATGCTATCAACCATATCCAGGATCAAATCAGGTTACTATTGGAGATGGAAGTTCAGTGCCTATTACTCAGACTGGTAATGGAATTTTACCTACTCCTAACTATTCTTTCTGTCTCAACAATATTCTACATTCACCTTCAATTTCCTCCAATTTGGTTTCAGTCCAAAAACTAGCTCAAGATAATCATTGTGTTATCATTTTTGATGATTCTAACTTTGTGATTCAGGACAAAGTTACCAAGAAGGTTCTTCACAAGGGAACTAACATTCATGGTCTTTACCAATTTCATCCATCTACTTCATTTCCATCTGAGTCTCATGCTTACATAATTAAGGCTAAATCTGAATCTGCTTCTCTGTGGCATAATCGATTAGGTCATCCTTCATCCTTAAAGTTTCATCATCTCAAGCCACATTTGAAGCTGAAATCTTTTCAATATGATAGTCTAGATTGTTGTGTTGCTAAAAGCCATAGGCTTCCTTTTCATTTGTCAAATAGCACTGTAAATAAGCCCCTTTCACTCATTCATAGTGATGTATGGGGCCC